GTCAGATGCTACAAATGCAATACGCATATATATAGATGGCTCAAAAAGCAAAGAAGGCTCAGGATATGGAGTGTACTCCAGATCACTAAGCCTAAGAATTAAGTGGGGAATGGGAAAAATACCAGAGTGGTTCAAACAGAACTGGTTGGTATCTCAATTGCCACAAAAGATATAACCAGGAAAAGAATTTCTGGCAAAAAAACAATCTACACTGATAGCAGACAAGCCCTATTAGCCTAGAACAGACGTGTTACCTCAAGCCTAGTACTAGAGTGCCACCAAGATTTAGCCAAAGCCTCGGTAGATAATAACATTATCCTGGGGTGGATTAAAGGACACGACAGGAGTGAAGGTAATCGCCGACTCTTTAGCCAAGAAAGCGGCTGGACTAAGAATTTTAGGACCCAGTGGCACCTACGGCCTGATGACTTCGACAACTGTGGAACTAGCCAAATGTTATACCCACTCTCAATCCCTAAAGAGATGGGATGAAATCAAAGGATGTAATCTTGCCAGGATCACACTGGCCGACCCTGAGAAGCTGGCGCCGAAGAAATATCTAGCGATGACCAGGAAAAATCTACGCTTAACAGTAGGATTTCTGACTGGCAACTGTCAAATATGAAAACACCTCCATAATATGGGGCTAGTGGACACACCTCTATGCAGGATGTGTAAACAGGAAGATGAAATGTCAAGCATGTCCTAAGCGAGTGAGCATCAATGAGAGAGTGTGTGTTCGGCGAGTCTTGGCCTACACCTGCTGATATAAAGGATATGTCTCCTAGTGACCTGTCCAGTGTATGGCACGAAGGCTTTCTGCATAAACTAATCGCGTTAGACCTGCCTCGGGACCTGATCCGGTGGATTGGGTCTTTCCTGAATGACAGAACATTTCAGGTTAGAGTAGAGGACTCTCTGTCGGACAACAGAGAGCTCCTCGCTGGAGTGCCGCACAGGGGCGTGCTCTCCCCTACGCTGTTCTGACTTTACATCAGTGGCCTCCCGAGGTCTGAGCGTGTAAATATATCTCTGTACGACGGCTCTCCTCTCATCTTCCATGGGTCGAGAGGTCGGTGTCGTCTACATGCAACGTGCATTGGACGACCTCGAGCGCTGGTACCTCGAATGGAAGATCCGAGTGAACCCGGACAAGACGATAACCATGGGAATATTGAAATCTTCTCCGGCCAGAAAAGTGACAATATCTGGACGGGAGATCGACTGGCAAGCGCGGGTAAAGTTACTCTGCCTTCTAGTAGACCGTAGGCTCACTTGGAACCCGCACATCACAACCATGAAGGCAAAGATCGATGGTCGGATCAAAAGTCTGTACCCTCTGATCAACAGGCGTTCTAAATTAAACCTAAAGAACAAGATTACGATCTATAAAACGATGTTCAAGCCTGTCATCATGTATGCTTCAGGCGTTTGAGGAGAAGCGGCTCCATCTAATATCTCCATTCTGGAGATATTGCAAAATAAGTTGATACGGATGATAGTGAATGCTCCGTGGTTTGTACGGAATTAAGCCATCCGCAGAGATTTGCAGCTGTCTTTCATTAATCAGTCCATTCAGCCGAGGAATCGGCAAGTCTTTGATTGCGCAGAGATAATCCTTAAGTTAAGGAAGCTATGGATTTTGCTGTAGACGACCCCTCCCGATATAGAAGGCCCAGACACTCTGTCGAGTGAGGCCCTCATGTCCTCCGTTAAAAGATGAACAATATCTTCATCTAAACACCCTTGCCAGGTAGGGGTCCACGTGAAGGGCAGTTCTGATGTCTGAGGACAGTCATGTCTCGACCCGTTTGTCTCTGACAAATATCAGTCGAAAAGGTAAGAGAGCCAGGTTCCAACCTGTTTTAAGCCATGATGACGCGAACAAGGGACCTGTCCACCTTCCTGGAAAGGATAGGATCTAGGAGGACAACTCTTTAGGAGGATGTACAATGGGTCGCATGTGGCCTAAGTGCTGTGGGCCTACACTCACCCTCTCCACTCTACAGCTACAGATACTATTAGAATTATAGAATCCGTTAGAAATTCTATCAAGTCCTTGGCAAAACGAACCAAGTGTTTGAAAGAGAATATTGAAAAAAACTTCCCCGAAACACAATGGAAAAACCTTACGGCAATGTGCGTACAAACTTTCAAAGATCTTGGCCACACAACCTATTTCCACATGTACCCCTGAGAGACTTTTTCTTCTCTGAAACGCCTCAAAACTCCACAAGCCAGGAACGACTAAACGGTTTGGCGTTAATGTCAATCCACCTTAGAATTGACATCGACACCGAGGAGGTAATTGATTTGTTTGCTGCAAAGAAAGCTAGAAAACTAAATTTGATTTTGTAAAAAGATGTTAATATTTCTGTAATAGTTTTCTAATAAATATATATGATCATGAAAGACAATTTTCTTTCTTTTGTTATTTTTATATTTCATGTTTTTCTACTGCTCCACCAAACCAACCCCCCCGAAATTGTTTTCTGGCTACGGCCTTAACTGACAGTGGAATTTTTCTCATTTTAATGATGTTTGTAGATTTTTAATATGGATTGAATGATTTTCATGTCGAATTCGTCTCCCGCTTAACCGTTTGTGGTGTAGAATTGAACTTGTTACAAACAACTATGTGTGAATCGTAAGGTTCCAGAATCCCACTCAATTGCTAATTGAGGTCAGATATTTCGAAGATAAGTGATTATTACTGATTTTAATTTCTTCCTAGATTGTGAACATATTTTTCTTTGTATAATGACATATAATCTCCGTTCTGGATTTTATCAAACGATTCATCTATGGAGATTGATAATATTGGAAAAAAATCGAATTTTAATGAAAGGTAGCTTCCAGCAGTATTTCTAGATTGTTAATTTCATTATATCGGAAACTTGTTGAATTCATACTGATAAATTGAGTGTGACTGGAATGTTACACCTCGATTTAATAACAACCACTTTGCGTTGAACAACTTCTTTATAAATGTTATATAACCTTTCTTTGATGGCTTGGGGCAATGACTCTGAGAACTCGAAACCTTTTCGAAAGCTTCTAGAGAGCACTGTCTTCTCATTAAATCGGAGAAGTCTGAAATTATATTGCTTGGTAATAGACACCATTGCTACAAACTGGCGAGTCTATAAACGATTATGGATAAAGCCTCTACTAAAGGATTAAATTTTTCACTTCGAATGAATTATAAGTAATATCAAGTCCTTATAATGCGTAATCAACTGAATTTCTTGAAAAACTAATTGCTGGAAGATTTTCAATGAATATAAAAATGGATGTTTGTTGGTTGATTGGTTGGTTGGTAAGTGATAAACTTCTACATCGCTTAACCGATCGTGATGAAACTTGACATGTATAAGTAATTTTTCATAGAGAAGGTTTTTAGGCTATCAATTTTTCTGTAACTCGCCACTAGATGGCGCTGTAGAACAATTTTTTGAAAGCACTATTCTAAAACGCTGCGCAAGCCTAAGTTCGTCGATTCTGATTCTGTCAAAACATTGGAACAGCAGCGATACAGCAACATAGTATTAGTCATTTATATAGTAAAGTTGAAAAGTTTGTTGTTCAAACATTGTCATCTCATATAGTATACCTACAGAGAATCTTTATATATGTCGATCGGTAGCCGGCCGGTTCGACGTGGGTACTTTGTTCACTCAGTCAATCGGCCGATGTGTGAGTCGATGGATCAAGCCCCAGGCTGAACGCTCAATTTTTTCTTGCTATCGTCCAACCCGTATTAGGAATCAAACGTTAAAAGGTAAAACCTTGTTAGTCCTTAGCTCGCACAAGTTTTGACTTCCGAGGGTTGTCGTTCGTGGGGGTGCGATAGCTGGTTAACGGAAAAAACAAATTTTGAACAGTTTTTTTTAATAGTTTAGAAAAGAACGACTCGGTGCATTATCGGTGTTAACAAAATAACCAATTGGAAAGAATAATTTTAAGAATAATTCAAAGAGCTAGGGATTCAGAAGTCGTTTGATTTGAATGATCTCCAACAGACTAACACAGTTTTAAAATAAGGATCGTCAAGTAGATTTCAAAAGAACTGTAAGATAGTTATTGTTGAGTGAAGCCTTTTAAAATATTGATGAATATTTCTCTGCAGGTGTGAACACAAATGTAATTTGATTTATCTTCCTTACTGTTTTGTTTTACAGTATATGATGGAAGTGCCCGAAGAAGCCATTGTATGGCGAAACACGTGTTGCGTTTTTGTAAAACTGTATAGTGAAAATCTCACAATAAAGTACATCTGTTTAAAATCTGTTTAAATTATGTTTTTCCGTTAATCAGCTGTCGCCCCCATACGAACGAAAACTCTCAGAAGTTGAGAAACTTGTGCTAGCTAAGGACTAACGAGGTCTTACCTTTTAACGTGTGATTCCTAATACGGTTGCAGAATCATCCCAGCTTCAACCAAATAAATTCTCTGGAGTAAAATATCTGGTCGAGGCGGGAATCGAACCCACGGCCTTCCGATCGTGGGTCGGGCGCACTACCTACGTGGCCAATTAGATACATTTCAGTAACACGTTAATTAATTGTTTGAAACACTTTTTTGGGGAGGAGTCAATGTTATTTGCCTTTTTTCTGTTTTTTTTTAACCTTTCACAATCTGAAAAATGAACAAAACTAAAACTGTAGAGAATTCTGCTATATTCATAAAATAAATTTTCTCTGCAAGTAATGAATGTAAAAATGAAATTCATACACCTAACCTTCTTTAGATAGTTTACTTTTTAGAAAGTAATCACTTTCCGTTCCCCAAACCCAAAAGAATCACTGGTGAAAAACGCCTGAATTGGTCACGGATATAGTTTTTTTGACAAACGTCAAGAAATAAAATCTTTATTGCTATCTGCATAATGATCTCAAACAACGATAGACAGACATGCTTTTGGACTGCTGTAAGGGCTACATCTGCCCACCCACAATATGCGTAATTTGACGTTATTTTTCTTTTTATTTTCAGTGACCACCCCAAATCCACCTGCAAGACCTTGGATTCCCCTAGCGAGGCCTAATACGTCTTCGCCAGCATGTAAGTAACGACTAACGGATGTTTCACAATAACTTTGCGCTTTTATTTGCAGAAATTAAAATTGAAACATAATGTGATAAAGTGCAGTGTGATACACTGAGGGAAAAGTATTTTCATGAAAAAAATTGCAGTTTTGATTATTCAGCTAACGTATGAAAAGACAGTGTTTTTATAACATACAAAATATTTCCATGAAAACTTCAGGTGCATTGGAATCAGATGTTTATTCCCTTTCTTGCAGTAGATTTGTATTGTACATCGGTTTATTGAATCCTCTCTTTCTCTAAGAAGATTTGACCATTATCCAAAAATCCACGACCTTCGAACCCGAAAACTAGTGACACTGAAAACCTCAGCCGCGAAAGCCTCAACAATTTTGTCATTCTGTCTATCATATAGTATATGTTATCAATCTGTTGTTCCTTGGAATCGACTTATCTCCATTTTTGTATCCGCCCCTCGATAAATCAATCCGAAGTTTGCTGATCTCCCTGTAGCCATGAGTGGACAACTTTGGTCGTGATATATCGGTAAGTAGGTCTATTTGTCTATTCACTGCAACCACAAGGATTCCTACATTATTTGGTGAGTGATCTTTCAGGCCAAACGCTGGAAACCTGATTCGTTTCGCAGCGAGCAGGTACATAGTATGTGTACTGCTAGTAGGCCTCAATTTTCTTGTGACGTCTTGCGTGATGTCTATCCACTCTAAGGAGTACATACCATGGTACATTTTCCCCAACCTAGTGAAGACCTAATCGGTGGTCAGTTTGCGACAGCACACAAATATGTGATTTGGAAATAGCTATCAACTGTAGCCATAAAAGCATAATGAAGATATTCCAGTTAATTGATCGATAGTTGAGTTATCAAATGTTGAAGGTGTAAGATTCTCACCTTATTAACCGCAGTAGTCTTTTCATATGAGGACATATGTAAGTCAGCTATATATGGCATTACATTAGGTTCAACCATGCGGCTTTTGCTTATGCTTTAGGCGTTTGTTAGTCTGGTGCGGGGAGTTTGTTTCTGCTTTTACTGATCAAGCATTCCAGGATCAAATGTTGAAGAACTGAAAAGCTCTTGCTCTTGATTCGATGCGATGTCATAGAGATGAAGTTTTAGGATCGTTTAGTCGAGATCTATTTCCTCTGTAGTGTTAGGGTCGAATTTTTAGTTATGTCACAGTCCATGAAGGGTCCCACAATTCACCAGTGAAGCGATGTCCATTACGGTAGAATCCCGCATAACTGACAAGGCGCTCGGTATCTCGAATTTTTCGTTAGTGATACCAAGTATGCTGAGACCGTCATTTAGGAGGACACTTTCCTCAGTCACTAGGGGTTTAGCGTTGTTTCCAAAAATTCCTGAACCGCACTGCACCTACTCAAGCTAGTTGTTGATTCAGGGGACCATTCTAGTAGAGTTGCCCGTGCGTTCCAGTTGTCTCCATTGATGGTAAGATGAAAGACTTTCGTTTTCTTCAACCACGCTATCAAGGTCACCATTTCATTAAGTCGAAGCCCTGAAGCTGCTGTATTCCATCCAGAAAAGAGCCATCCGTCTGATTGGAGACTCGAACATCACTTGCAACCTTGATAGTCTGGAACATCGAAGGAAGGTTGGAGATTTGTCTCTCTTTTATAGATACTTTTACGGAAAGTGTTCAAGTGACTTGACACATTTGATTCCACCAATAGCGGTATATATCAGAAATACGCGACAAACTGTGGCTGCTCATCGTTTTGAGGAAACCTCAAACTTTACTGTTTCAGAACTCTTTTATTTGGAGAACTGCGTTTATGTTGAACAAACCTCCTGAAAACATTTTTCCAAATGGATTTAATCTCCAGCAATTCAAATCCAATGTGAATCGACCAGTGCGAAGGTGGCCATGTGTTTTCATCCATGTGTTTGGTGAAAGAGAGGCGAGCGCGCTATTCCGCCATAGGTCGTTTCACCGAAATTATTCACATGGCTAGCCATGGAAATTTTTACACTGATAGACTCATTGCTGGAAACGAACTGATGTGATTGGAAATCCTTTTTTTATGAAATGAACCGCAATTTATTGAAATTGTACAAACAACTGATAATAATAGAAGCAGAAAAATAATTCCAAAGGGAAATTCGTTGCTAGGAATATTTTTTCGGTCAATTAATTAAATACACCCCAGACTACCCTTAACTCAATTTTCATTAGAAAAAATCATAACTCCTTGCAGAAACACATTGCTGGGAATTTTTTTTTCATGAAACCATCGAATTTGGCATGCTTATTAACCCTAGAAGGGTCGCTGATTTGGTCTCGTGAAAGAACACCCCCAACTACCCTTAATTCACTTTTCATTAAAAAAAAAATCATAAGTCCTTGCAAAAACACATTGCTGGGAGTATTTATTCATGAAACCATCGAATTTAGCAAGCTTGTTAACCCCAGAAGGGTCGCTGATTTTGTCTCACGAAAATACACCCCCTTCTACCCTAAATTCAATTTTCATCAGTTGAAATCCTAACTCCTTGCAGAAACACATTGCTGGGAGTATTTATTCATGAAACCATCGAATTTAGCAAGAAGAAACACATTGCTGGACTGCCAGGTGTGTATTTTCGTGAGACAAAATCAGTGACCCCTCTGGGGTTAATAAGCATGCCAAATTCGATGGTTTCTTGAAAAATTATTCCCAGCAATGTGTTTCAGCAAGGAGTTATGATTTTTTCTAATGAAAATTGAATTGAGGGTAGACGGGGTGTATTTTCGTGAGACAAAATCAGCGACCCTTCTGGGGTTAATGAGCATGCCAAACTGGATGGTTCCATGGAAAATTTTCCCAGCAATGTGTTTCTGCAAGGAGTTATGATTTTTGAATGAAAATTGAATTAAGGGTAGAAGGGGTGTATTTCCGTGAGACAAAATAAGCGACCCTTCTGGGATTAACAAGCTCGCTGAATTCGATGGTTTCATGAAAAAAAATTCCCAGCAATGTGTTTCTGCAAGGAGTTATGATTTTTTCTAATGGAAATTTAATTAAGGGTAGTCGGGGGTGTATTTAATTTATTGACAGAAAAAATATTCCTAGCAACGAATTTCCTTTTGGAATTATTTTTCTGCTTCTATTATTATCAGTTGTTTGTACAATTTCAATAAAATGCGGTTCATTTCATAAAAAAAAAAAAGATTTTCATCATCATTTGAATCATTTCCAATCACATCAGTTCGTTTCCAGCAATGAGTCTATCAATGTAAAAATTTTCATGGCTAGCCATGTGAATAATTGCTGTGAAACGACCTATGGCGGAATAGCGCGCTCGCCTCTCTTTCACCAAACACATGGATGAAAACACATATGGCTACCTTCGCACTGGTTGTGAATCGATACTTTCGCACAGGTACCGCTCTTAGAGCGCCTTAAGGATTTTCCTGTAGTGCTTGTGTTTTGTCAGGAAACAAACTACGTAGGGATTATAATGGATAATAAGGATCCCGTCTTTTGCAGTCTTGCAAATTCTTTTTACTATTTTCCCTTATAGATGTATTTTGCAACGTATATTTCTGTAATAAGTATTCTCAATAACGCTTTCTTCCATTTTTTTAAAGGTGTCTTTACTGTGATGTGTTACAACGTTCTTTGTGATAAATATGCCACGCGGCAAATGTACAGTTACTGCCCGAGCTGGGCGCTGAATTGGGACTATAGGAAAAAGGGCATCCTCGAAGAGATCAAACATTATGGCGCTGATATTATCAATCTGCAAGAGGTTGAAATGGAACAATTCTACAATTACTTTTTGCCAGAACTGAAGATGGATGGTTACCACGGCATATATTCGCCAAAATCTAGAGCCAAACACATGGTGGAGAGCGAGAGGAAATACGTCGATGGCTGTGCTATTTTTTACAGAATGTCTAAGTGAGTATTTTTTTTGGGATCTCTAATATTTACTTATTCATGTTTGGAATGTTGGAGGTTAATAAATTATCTAACATTCTATACTAATAACTATAATTAACACATGAACTCACACCTGATATATTAAAGGTAATTAGAATCATTGCACATATGCATTGATATACTTATTGGATTATCATGATTATATTGTCCAGTCATTTTAGGCCGATTTAGGCCTGTATTTCGGAAAGTTGACATACCCAGATGTAAATTTGTATAAATTGTATGTATTTTGGCATCATAAAAGTATTCTCAAAATTCACATATGACGGCGGCCGCAATTTCAAAGTAAAAAAGTAAAAAAAACCGACTTTTTGCACGTTTTTTGCCTCTCGTTTCCGATGGGTTTTATGCTAATTGTGTTTATTATCTGTATTGTAGAGAATTTAATTCTCTACAACTTTTGTTTCAAACATTTTTTCATACGTTGAATCGTTTTTGAGATAGAGGGCAACGCGATCAACTGGTTGTCCCGATCGAAATCAGCTCATTTGAGGTTTATAAGTTATTAGTTAATAAATAATTATAAATAATTTTCATTTTTTATTAACAAATACATCAACACTAAACAGGCCAGAGATGATGCGGATGTTCTCATTATTGAGACAGCTATTGAAGAATCTAAACGTCAAAGAACAGCAATTATAGTTGGTAAAGATATTGATTTACTTGTGATTTTAATTGGGTGGGCGTACACACACACACACACACACACAAGAAATTTTCTTTAAAAAAGTTGGCAAAGCAAATGTGATAATGGAAATATACTTCTCTAAGAGTTTCGACAAATATTCAAGTTCTGAAAAACACATTTTGTTCCTTCACGCTCTAAGTGACTGTGATACAACTTCTGCGCTCTTTAAAAAAGGAAAAAAAACGTCTTTAAGAACATTCGAGAAACTATCTAATTTGGATGAACTTGCCGCAGCATTTGAAGAAGAAAACTGCCCGGTTCAAAGATTATTTGATATTGGATTACAAACTTTATTAGCTGTTTATAATGCTCCAAAGTCTGTAGACACTGTCAATCATCTTCGTTATGCACAATATGTCAAGCTAACAAAGCTCAATAAACCTGTGCAGTTATCAAATATCCCACCAACAAGTGGAGCAGCTCACCAACATTTTAATTGTGTTTATTACCAAGTTCTAACTTTGTTAGGACATGATTTGAAACCCCAGGAATGGGGTTGGACAATGCGTAACGGATTGCTAGAACCTATCATTTTACCACCTGCTCCAGATGAGTTACTCAATACGATATTCTGTAACGGGACAACCAGTTGATTTCAAATAATATTTAATCTGCGCTCGCGCTGCCCTCTATCTCAAAAACGATTCAACATATGAAACAATGTTTGAAACAAAAGTTGTAGAGAATTTAATTCTCTACAATATTGATGAATACAATTAACATAAAACCCATTGGAAACGAAATATTGGCAAAAAACATGCAAAAAGTCGTTTTTTTTTTATTTTGACCTCCAATTTTTGAGTTTCGGCTGTCGAATCATATGGAAATTTTGAGAATACTTTTGTGATGCCAAAATACAAAGTTTATACAAATTTACAGCTGGGTATGTCCACTTTCCTAGGCAAACCCCCTAAAATGACTGGACTAATAATTCGTTTTGAGTGAGAAGAAATTTCAGATGGTACTTGTACTTGTTTGATATTCTAAGAGTGAAAGTAAGTAAAAACTCAGGAGAATCGATTTCACCTCCCACAGTTTTTAAAGGAACCATGATGACATTCATATTTCTATGAGGATTTAACATTTCCAGTTTCACAATGTACTATTTATTGTTGTACCCATAATAATCCTCATGTGAGCTTAGTTTTATTCTCAGAAAAAAAAAACAAGAATTGATCAAATTCTAGATGCACATTCAAGAATTGGTCTTACAACCACTGTATTGATTGATTAAATTGTGTTTTTTTCATGAATCCTAGTATTTTCAAAAAGCTACCAGTAACAGAATTTATAACAGCAAGGGGTAGAAAGTAATGTATTCAAAGAAAATCTGTGAAAATGTTTTTTATTTATTACCTTAAATAAAACGAATCCAAAAATTAAAGTTCCTTTCACTCCCAAAAATTGTTTCATGGCAGGAGAAACTATTTATTTTCGTTTTTAGTTTTTACGTCTAATTCGTAGAATGTTTATACATAAATTTCAAAAACGTTACTGGACTTCAGGTTAGGTTATGTTAGGTCAGGTCCAAAGTGAGTGGGGTCTATTCGACCCCCCACAGCAACCCGTAAAGGTTTAATGTGGCTCAAACCAATTCACACTCGACTAAATAAAACCTGCTTCTTAACGAAGCCAATTAGTTTGTATAGTGAGTAGTCTTTCAGGTCAGATGGTAAAAGTACGGCTCAGCGAAACTCTGAAAACCTTATTTTGTCCCCAGCGGGGCAGGCACAGATCATTTTTCAAACAGAGGAGACACACACTGTCTTCCGACAGTCCGAATCTCTGCATATGATGATTCAAATGACAGTGACCTGTGAGAAGGCCTGATAGATATCATAGTTCATCCCTACTATAGTCCAACAACTGTTTGGTATCAAGCTTCGAAGGGTGAATAAACGCCTTGTAGTGAGCCAATCCTGGCAGATTATGCCAGCAGTCCATAGATCTTCCTGCCATCCAGGTGTCCAATCTTTGTTTGACAAAGCCTAAAGCTATGCCAATGACAGGTTCTGGTCCGATGAAACTGTTTGCAGCACCCTTCTTTGCAAGGAAGTCAGCAGCCTCATTGCCTTCCAGACCAGAGACAATCTGTATCTGTAGAGTAGTAAGCCCTCAGTACTTAAGCCACATGTGACCCATTGTACATCCTCCCGAGGAATTGTCCTCCTAGGTCATCGTCCATCCTGTCCTTTCCATGAAGGTGGACAGGTCACTGAGAGACATCTCATTTATATGTTTCTATTAATTTCAGCCTATCCTGCGTTCTATCGCACAGTGTGTTTACAAATTTGCCGGTCTGCAAGATAACTATGTCATCTGCGTATGCAATTGTGTAGAATCCATTTTTGTTAAGGTGATTAATCAGGGTATCCAGAACTATGTTCCAGAGAAGGGGTGATAAGACCCCTCCCTGTGGACATCCCTTCATGACTACTAGAGAGCATCTTGAGTGTCCATTCTCCTACTACCAGGGGTACATTCCTGAAGTGTAGTTTCTGAGTAATTGTTGGAAAGATTGTTGTATCAAACGCTCCCTCGATATCTATGAATATACCCAGGGTGGATTCTTTATTGTCCAATGATCTCTAGATTCTGCCAACCACATGGTGAAGGGCAGAATCAGTAGACCTTCCATGCTGATTTGGATGAAGTGGGTTGTGAATTAGTACTTCATCCCTTATGTACCGCTCACATAGCCTCTCAATGGTTTTTAAGAAAAACGATGTGAGACTAATTGGTCGGAATCCTTTTGGTAAGGTGTAGTCCATACTACCTGGTTTGGATATAAATACTACTCTTACTTCTCTCCACATACTGGGAATATACCTCAGAGCTAGAGAAGCTCTGAATATTCCAACCAGGTGCGGCATAAGAGTGTCCAGTCCCCACTGAAGTAGGGCTGGTCTTATGTCGTCAGGGAATGGTGACTTGAAGGGGGAAAAGCCCGATATAGCCCATCTTATTTTGTCAATTACTGCACTAGCAGATTGCCAGTCGTATTGTGAGGGTGTTGTTGGTACATCCGTCCAGTTCGTCGTTCCAGGAAAGACAGAACCTGAGAAGTGAGTTTCCATAAGAATCTCAACACTCTCCTGGAGGCTGTCGGCTTTGTCACCATTTTTCCTCGTCAGGATACCGATACTCTTATGGTGGTCATTTGAGAGTGCCTTCTGTAGCCTAGAAGCTAGTGGGAAGTCTTCGACTGCCTCACAATAGGCTCTCCAGGCTTCTCTTTGCTTTCGTCTGCAGACTTTTTTGAACTCTCTGAGGTTGGCTTGATATATACCCCAGTCCTCTTCGAGTCTTACACGTTTTGCCTTGTTATAGGTCGTTCTCGCTGTGTTCCTGAGGTGTTCCAATTCAGGGCACCACCATGTGTTGGTTGTACCATCTGTTTGAACCACCCTCATCGGACAGGATTCCTTGTAAGCAATGTCTATTTTGTTGTGGATAGATATCGTGTACATTTCCAGTTCTTCATTGTTGCCAGGTGTCAGGACATCTGTTTCCCGCAGAGATTCTCTCAAGAGTCGATTGTAGAGAGCTACATCCGTCCTCTTCGGGTCATGGAATTTTACAGTGGTCCTGAGATCCTGGTTCACCGTATAGGTCAGCCAGCGGTGGTCTGACATTGAGATATGACATTGAGGTCTGACATTGAGATATTTTGGCTGTCGTAAGCATGATATCTATTCCAGATATCAAGAGACATTCTGTTAAGTCTTCCTATCGAGGACAGTGGTTTTTGACAATTCACTACCAATTTAGATGTTGCTCGGTAGGAGCCAAGTACTGGACTTCAACTCTTGCATGTTATTGACTGAATACAAATTGGTAACTAAATCAGACATATTAATATCAATTGTTTTATAGATTTTATTTCATTTTTTTAATGCGGTGCTTTATTTTTTTGAAATGGATTGAATTTTCTTCCTACTACATTTACAAATTCAGTTTTCAGAGCATATTAATGTTAATGTTTAGCTTATAAAATATCTCTTGCGACTTCATTTATGATTTAAAGAAAAACTCAATCAATCGATTACTTTGCACTTCATATAAAATGAGATGATATTATTTATGCTGCAGATTTACGCTAGTTAAAGAACATTTAGTGGAATTTAATCAACTGGCGATGGCTAGTGCGGACGGATTGGAACACATGTTGAACAGGGTTATGCCAAAAGACAATATAGGGTTGGCTGCTTTACTGCAAACAACAGAGGGGGCATGGGATAACAGTGAGTATAATATAATAATAATAATAATAAGTTTATTAGCAGTCTTTTGGTGACAATATAAACAATGTACAAAAATAGAGCAGTTTCTTGAAACTAAAATAAACAATAATTCCACAAAGCCGAAGCTGTTCGTGGTATTGAGTTTATTTCTGATCTTTAAACATTATTCTAAAAGGTGTACATAAATGTTGGAAAACTAGTAGTTACCAAGTTAATAAGAAGGTGCAACTCTTCAAAAAATAATATTGTAACGAGTATAATACCCCAATAATCTAAATTACATATATCTACACATATACATATGCGCACCGATACAAATATTTCCCTATATACAAAAAACAAATACAATAATTCACGATAATACAATACTTTACTGATGAACATATTTATCATACAAATAAATTTCGAATTACAGATACAAAGTAATGTGAAGAAACATTGCGGATACATATTCATTATTCGAACAATTGTAGAATAGCGATGTTTCTATGGCAAGTATAAAATGCCGTTTTTTTTTTAATTGAAAAAGACAGTATGATTCGACAATTTCTCTTGGTAGGTAACACATTCATTTGTTTAATTTTATTGATCATATATATCCTCCAAGATATGGTTACAACGGGTCTGACGACTAGCTAGAAAAAAATATTCATTATAAATTCTGGTCGCTGGTCGGTGGAGAAATCAATTCAAATGCTATCTTATTTCAAAGCGATAGATACCAAATTGTATGACAGTAATTTTTGTTTTATGCTAAAACTTATCAATCATTGAATGTCAAATCCATAGCCCACTTCAATAACAGTTTCATTGCGCTTGGCGCACAGGAGAACCACCTTATTAACAAAAATTATAAGAATAAAGTAGTTCTTTAAAAGGTTAGAATAACATACTGCGTGTTTCATATAAAAAATTGATTTTTTGATATTTGAAGTTTGTCAAGTTGATCCCTCCGTATAAACTCCTCTTTGAGAAATATAATTTTCATGTCTTGAATATTTCTGCTTAAATTCTATTCTTAAAATTTTTATGATAACATTCACGGTGGTCTGGTTTTCCAAAGAGTTTCATTCTTTCAGCAATAATTTGACAACGCCACAAAATTTTCGAAAAAAGTAAATACCTCCTTATGTAAAAAATTTTGCTCCGTTCAACGGTGAAAAAATTACAGGAGGGTCCAACATCAAAACAAACGATGATTTGTATTGCCACGCTTCATAGGAACACTCTGTATATGCCAAAATATTTTTAAAATAAGCAACAAAGTAATCCATATAACTCTTATCTGAAAAATTTCATCATACTCCTCATGATAGGCGAGGTACTGTTGTACTTCCTCACACTAATGGGCCACCCTTTATATGTTCTTGCGTTCTATGAGTTTCTCTTATATATTTAAATCCACCAAATGTCTTCCATTGTCAGAATGTTTACCCTGAACAGGTTTTGTCTTGTTCTACTCTCATTTCCAGTCAGAGGAGTCGCTCGTAGAATCCTCCTTATTTTTTATATTTTTGGTTCATGCATGTCCAATGCGTATGGAAGAAAGGTTTACCAACATCCATGGTACTCTCTGATAAGGCCCAGATACCAGCATGGGTCACCTAACATTTCTGTATCGAGCCCCTTTTTTAGTTGCCTCTTACCACAGGCAGTAGTTGCCACTAACCCTAGTGCTGACGAATTGAAACTATAAGCTATAAAGATACAATAACATGTCCCAGAAACTGCATGAAAAAGTTAATTCTGAATGTAGACAAAATGAATTTCATAATTTTCAGTGTTTCTAAAAATGAATGTTGAAGCCATTCAACAAAATTTAAAAGCGTTCATGTATCATTAAACTTTGAAAGATGTTCTTGATGTTAATAAAATTGCATATTATTAGTTCATCAATGATAAATTTTTACTTCAAATTCCATTGAGTAGTTGACTCAATGGAAGTATGCTCCATTTGGGTGATTTTTAATTCATTCTTGATATTTAATTTGTAGGTCCAAATGACGCTCCTTTTTTAAATCAACCCATTTTGGTATGCACTGCCCACATACATTGGGATCCAGAATTCTGCGACGTCAAGCTGATCCAAACAATGATGTTATCCAACGAACTCAAGAGCATTCTGGAAAGGTCCGCCCAAACTCTTAGGATGCACAATATCAATACAGATCCCAGCAATATCCAGTTGGTGCTGTGTGGCGATTTCAATTCTTTGCCGAACTCTGGAGTTATTGAATTTTTGGCGAAAGGAAGGGTTTCCCAGGACCACAGGGATTTCAAGGCTCTAGCTTATAAAGCCTGTTTGGAGAAAGTACTCAGCTGTGATAAACCGAACGAATTCACACATTCCTTCAAGCTGGCATCCGCTTATAATGACGAAATTATGCCTTACACCAATTATACGTGAGTATTAAAATTATTACAAGTTGATGATTTCGATTATGGGATCCATAGATTCAAACCACTGCTGATAAAGCTACTGTGTTAGCGAAACATGTCGTGATATGAATTTCACTAGTTCGGACTTCCATTGTCTACTATATAAAACGATTTGAAATCCCTGAAACAACAAAAGACAGCAGGAGCCTCGCAAGGAAGAGAAGCCGTCACAACCAGTACTTGCACTTCCCTACATCAGAGGATTATCGGAGAGGATAAGAAGAATTGGTTCCAAGTACAACATTAGAACCTGTTTCAGATCCGGTAACACTATCCGTAGCAGCCTTACGAAAACCAGGCCCCCAAACGCGGACTGCGATTCCAAGAATTGCATTTACCGAATACCCTGTGAGTGCGGAAAATCCTATATTGGTGAAACTAAGAGGCCATTGAATGTTCGCATTGCCGAGCACAAGAAGCACACACAGCGAGGAGAAACCAGCAGATCAGGAATAGCAGACCATGTTTGGACCCATCAACACAACATCGAGTGGTCCCAAGCTGAGATCTTGCACAGAGAGAAACATTGGTTCAGGAGAAAATTTAAGGAAGCCGCATACATGTTGTCCAACAACGTATTCAGCCAGGCCAGCGTAGATATACGCAACATATGGAAACCCATCATCAAACGAAAAATGGCCAACTCCCGCCAAAACGGTCATCTCTCACGGAATCAGTGAAGCGGAAAATGGAAAGTAGAGAAAGTGAAAGTATTTCAACGACCTATAAAATAGTCATCTCTCGGAGGAATCAGTCCAGTCATCACCCGAAGACGATTGTAGATACCAACAATCGAAACGTCGTGAACTAACGTGACTTGGAATCTCTACACTATTTATTTTTTTATTATTTTCTTTTTTCATTCCTTTAATTTTTATTTATTCAATTATTATATTTGTACTTGTAGGTTATTTCACTATCATTTCATTTCAGGTTTATTGTTGCTTAATATAATTGTTATTTACAACTATTCTTTCTAATTATTCTTTTTTACTTGTTTCAGGGATTTCAAATCATTTTATATAGTAGACAATGGAAGTCCGAACTAGTGAAATTCATCACGAAACATTGTCAATCACCTTCGAACAAATGTCGTGATATATTTTTCAAATAAAGTTTGTGGAGATCAAAAAATCGTGTACTATGGATCTTCATCAAGTAAGGGCCGAATCAATCAGAAAAAAAATGAGATAAACTCAGTTGTTTACCTCGTTAAGTGAAGTTGTGCTGTCAAGCCCGAAAATGATATAATCCTGTATTTTTAATTTAATTCATTAAATACTTTTTAAATTGATTTTTGAATTTGAGGGCAGTTTTAGATTTTTTTCCTCAGGAATTGTATTATATATTATAATTCCATCATAATAAATTGATTTCTGTCCAAAATTTGATTTGAAATTACTAAATGATAATAATAGTGTTATGACTAAGGGTATTATTGATTTTTATGATATTTATGTTTGAAGTTTTTGATTTATTTGTTGTTGAATAAATGAAACAACAAATTTTTTATTTGTGTAGTGTGTTCAAATCTAATAAACATTTTAATTTATACTAACTGACTGTTGGTTCTGAGTAGGATAATTTATATATGCATTCAATAGTTTTATTATATATTATATGTATATCATCTCTAATAATAATTTTCAATATGTCACTATTTTTATAATATTATTGCCTTGGTTATCCATCTTCAGTCAATCAATTGGAATACAAAAACGTTTTCTGTTGCTCCCAAGTTCAATCCCGCTGTCCGTGAATTTCTAAAATATGAAACCTCAATTTTATATAATTTGTCTGCTTCATTATCTGCCAAATTATTTGTAATCTTATACAGTGCTTTTCAGATAAAAGTATCCACCTTTAATAACTTTTGTAATACTGATATTTAGGAAAAATCCAAAAACACGTCAATTTATGTTGGAAGGGGCAAGCATTATGGCTTATTTAAACTNACTTATTGTAACTTCATAATAAATAGCACAGTTAAAAAGATTAAAGAGTTTGAACTGTTGTACAACCCATTTTATTACAGGCAAATAAGGTGAAAGTGAAAAATAAGTAAAATTTGTGCTATTAAAAGAAAAATTGAAAAATTTGGTACCTGTATGTTTTGGTACCTCAGTTCTTCTTCTTCTCGATATTACGTCATTGATAGTAATTATATTAATGTACTACTAACGTTCAGCTGTTAGTAATGTTTATAATACCGAATGTAGTAAACTCAATAGAGCTAGATGTATTTTATTTATTACCTCTGTATATGAGTTAATTCATATTATTATGCTCTACCTAGGTATTTTATGGTATCATGTGAAGTGACTGTTGAAAATATTGTAATAAATTCAATTTGATTTGAAAAATCATTACTCATTAATGTTTAGGTAATTTGAAAAGAATGTCATTTTCACAAAAGTTCTTTGTTTTTAATTTTCAGATTTGAGTTCAAAGGCATAATTGACTATATTTTTTATGCCAAGCAGACGATGACCCCATTGGGTTTGTTGGGGCCACTGTCGCAAGAATGGCTGCAGCAGAATAAAGTAATAGGTTGTCCTCACCCTCACGTCTATTCTGATCATTTTCCGCTCCTAGTTGAATTGGAAATGACACCTACGATAACACCCGCAATGAAAGTAATTCACAGGTAATGGAGAATTTTTCTAATAAATAATATTTCTGTGATTATTTCAATAGCTTTTTGAATAGATAAAATCCCAGATTTTCTTGAAAATTGAACAGAGTTGAGAAAAATACTGAAACAGAACATTTGTAATTTTTGTATTGTTTTTTTCAGTTCATTATAGTATTTGAGGTGTCTCTAATTATAAATAGTTTTGTAATCTCCAATGGATTGATAGGCCATGACTTCCATGGCAGGCAGATAAATCATCAGCAGATTTTACAGTTGGCTGAAGAACTGATCTTTGTGATGGTTCATGTATCACAAGTTTTTTTCGAAGATAGTCTAATGATCTGCCTGTTTTCCAAGGGATGTCTTTTTTTGCACTGAAAAATTGACCACTTTTTTTCGAATTTGTCACAATTTTCAATAAAATCAAATCGATTGATTTTATTGATTTTTTCCTTTAGAATTCGTGGACTGAATTCAGAAAAGTAAAAGAGAAGCGATTATTGAGGATTATTATTATTGGAGATTATTTAAAAAAAAGTTTTTGAAACAAATTTCTTACTAGTAGCACAGTTCAGATGATTTATTTCCTCTCCCTACTTTTCATCAAACTATCTGCCTGCAAACTTATTATATTTTTTCAGGAATCAATACATGTATCAAACAGCAACCTATTATCACGGATATTATTATCCTCCTGTTTATCCAGTTCCACAGAACTATTTTCCTCAAAAAAGGTTCTTTAGAAAAAGGAATAAAGTGTACAATAAAAACTGATTCTAATGTGCAATGCCAAATGTAAGAGTTTTAGCTTTGTACTTGGGAACATTGTGGACGTCCAAGGGTGGAATCTCATTTATAGGTTTTGAAAAATGAAAGTGGAATCATCCAGAGTTTTTTGGTTTGCCTGTCTTGAAAACTAATAATTCTATACAAATATTAATATTTTTATTGGAATGACCCTTTTATTCTTTTATCTCTGGGATTGTTCTCTTCTTCAATACATGTATTGGTATTTGGGATTTTTTTCATGTTTTTGTGACTCCTATGAAAATAAAAAAAAATTATTGAGATACTCTATCAATCAACTTGGGTTATTGAACGTTATATGGAAGGAAGAAAGAAAGCTATGAAAGCAAAAATTACACTTCATGATACAAACAAATATTTGGGTACATTCAATTTTCACATCTGTCGGTGATAAAACATCATATGAAACATATATAATTATAAAATAATTACACTCACCCGGTTTGTGAACCAAAACTGCAATAATCTCCTGCACTTTAAACTATTTTCTTAATATACTATTAAAAAATGTTTTCTCATAAATGAGAATAATGAAACTATTTTTGCTTGTGTTTTTGTTGGAATATATGGTTCAATATTTCTCTCTTATAGTGTATTATATCTTGATGGCTGATTTTAATTTTTTTCGTGGGTTTTCCATTTTATGTTGTGTTGTTGAATGTTTTACGAGGTCTTGGGACTCTACAGTTTGAAGTTGAACAATTGATGACAATTCTTTCATGTTTTAAATATAAGCGACTTTTAACTATATTTCACTCTTTTTAGATATCCTGGAAAATTCTTTTTTGTCTGTTTATAATTTTGTAAATATCTCAGAAATGAAAATTGAGAAATTAAACTTTCTGTTTTTTTTACCACTTCTATTCGTAACTAATGCTGTTACAGCAGTTTTGTCCTATAAATACATTTGAAACAATTACAATTATTCTAATTGTTTTATTTCTCATTTTTCATGATGATTTCCTACCACGTAGTAATGGCTATATACATTATTTTATCTCAGAAATTATTTGTTTTGGAAAAAATGTGCATGATTAGGATAAAAACGTCAAAAAAATGAAAGTAAGTTGATGCCAAAGTAGCATTTATAAGTCATTGATTCAAGTCATGGCGTTTTTTACATTGGTACTGTGCTATATCATCTATAAGAGCTCATTTAGAAGGGTAATCAAAATAAAGCAAGTTTTCTGAAGAATGTTGATATTTAAAAGTCTTCTTGTTTATGAAAAACTTCTTAGAGTAAACAGCCACTATTAGTGTTTATCCATCGAGCGTAGATTCAGATTGCGATGCCACCGAAGCTGGGATTTTTTTTATCTTTGGATTTGCCAGGCATGCTACCGCATAATTTACAACTGAAGGTTGGATCGCTCCGTATTTTGAATTCACCACGGCTGTGCAACTGCACGCGATTAGTCATTGAAAAATTAATGAAAAACGTCGAAGCCCCAGCTTTTAAATGGCAAGTTCCGAAGTGAAGATGTGCCAATCTATTTTAAATGTGTGCAATTTTCAATTAGATTGGCAATTAGTATGGCTTTGATTTGAGCACACCATGTTTTTCACACGGACAATCATATGTAACATGCTCTCCAGTGGGCAAATCATCCAGTTTGCGTTACCGAACATGGACTAACAAAAAATATTGTACACACTATAACATTATGGGAATAATATTATTTGTGAGTTTTATTGTTCTGACACACTCTTAGAATGAGTTAGTTATTATTTTCTACCCTAGAAATAATGTATGTGGCAAAACAGCGTTTGTCGGCTAGAAAATTATTAACTTTTTTGTTTTTTTGAAATATTTTTTTCTTTCTCAAGGTAACAATGTGGAAGGGATGTTATCGATTTTCTCACTCTATCTCTCTTATTTTTCTTGAACTATATTTCATTTTGGGTTTAGTTGTAAAAATATTCCCTCAAGAATTTCTACAATAATATTTATGTTCTAATTACAGGTAGCAACTGGCAGTTTCTGGAAACTAGCCATTGTCGCCTTTGCATTTGCTGTACCTGTTGCTCAGAAGACCAACGGTCAAACCACAGAGGCACATCTATTCACCCTTATCTCGGAAAACTGTACCTGAAGGCATCGTCCCACATAAAAAACAAAACTCAAAAAGATCCTTCGAAATCAAATCAGCGCCAACATTCAATTGAAGAACTTAGGTATTTCTTTCTTGTGAAACAGATTGGTATAATTTCATCATTGAAATATTTTTTCAATAATTTTCACCTTCAGATTTAGTTTGGAAACTCTTGAAAAATGGATACATGTTACAGTCTCTATCTTTTCTGATTTTCTTGATTGAAATTTAAATAAAGGCATCTTTTTTTTAATAATCATTATACCTCAGTAGCACTTGAACAACAGATTTCACTTTAGCAATGTATTTTGTTGAAATCAAAATATATGGACGCACACTTCAGATTTTTGGCTGTGCACAGAGGATCTTGATCATTTTCACGTTGAGATTTACTGTGATTTGTATTATTTTAGTGAAAATCCTCTGTATATGAGAAGCTGCTTTGGTTTTATTTGTGTAATATGATGACAAAAGTCATGAAATATTTTGGTCTCCTTCCTGAAACAGTTATTTGAATACAATGAACTCATGGGGGAGATGCCAATTTTTTTCTTGTACAACTTTTCCGACTATTTATGAAGATCATCTTTGTATTTTTTGTCTGACTAGTTTAATTTATGTTTTTAGTACACTGTAATTATGAAGTACCTTCTTTTAGTTTTATCTCGAACCCCTTTTTTGTTTGATGACGAATTTTAATGACATCATTTGTAGCCACAGCCAGTAACAGTTCTCCTGTTATTTGTAATTTTTTACTGTTGTATATTTTAGCGACTTTTCTCTTGGAAGTGATAATTGTTGTGATTAAAAGAGAATATTTGCTTGCTGTGAGTGCTGCAAATGTTTAATTTTATATTTACCTGTTAGTTATTATTAATTGTGTAACATATTTTTCATTGTAATTTTTATGTAATTTTCAGTATCAACTTTGTTCTGAACACCATTTATCTATTCTGAAGGTTTACTGTTATTTTGTTCTTCATCGTTCAGAAAATTTGAAATAAACATGATTTTTTTTAGATATACAATATTTTTATGTAAGAAGAGTGTCTCCCGGTTATACTTTTTCCGCTTTAACGATCTTGATCCAGTAGAACCCTTATTATCGAATATTTCTTTTCAATCAAACAACTTCTGAATGCAATTAATCTTTTTTATTGTGAATTTAATGTGATTTTGTTCAATATCTCTCAGATGTGATAAGTACAAAGTTCATCCCGTTCACCATTTATTGTAGAATAAAACACAAGTTCTTGGAAAAAAAGTCTAAAGATATTTATTCGTTTTCAAAACTTCTCATGACACAGTAATGACATGCTTCAAGAGAGACAAAAACTTTAACAGAGCAAAACAAAATGTGGAAATGTTTGAAAAACTTTCTTTTTATTGATTTCTCAAAAAATGTATTCTTCGTAAAAGTCACATTGATTTGTCAAATATCATGTTTCTTTAATCATATATGATATACATGAAAAATGTAAATTTTATCCTCTTTTTGAAATATAAAGAGTTTCATTTGTGGAGTGGTTTTTTAAATACAATCTAAATTCAAATTTTCCTATTGGTTAAATCTGTGCAATATATTAGGATCAGCGATATAGTGCTGTGCTCCACTTTATTCAAATTAGTGAAACTCTTATTCTTTATATTACTTTATAAATTCAAAAACCTAATCGAGTTTATGTTACAGTTGTTGATTTGTTTGCTCAAAGTAAACATGACTTAATTAAAACTGTCAAAAAAGTACCAATATATGTAAGTTATCTGAAATAGCACTATTCTTTGGCAACACTTCTAATTTCATTACATTTTCAAATTTTGAAAAGAAATAAATGCTTGATAGTAGAGATTTCAATGAAACAGAACTTTAGGTACCCCTGCTAATAAGTAATAATATCAGCAGACTCTTGGTTAGTTCATTTTTCACCATGAATCAATTTTTTGCAAAGTAAAAAATTGCAATCATGGCATCTTTGATTTTATCTACTAATAATTTTATCCTACATAACTTATTATAAAGTCCTGTTTAAATGTTTTGTTTACTTTCGAATACATTGTTGAATTAATACGAAATTATAAAGAAAGTTTGAGAGAAGTGAACTAGGAACAGTATATAACAATGATAACTGTAGTAAATTGGAATAAAAAATTGGAAAAATAAAAATACTTTTTCTCAATACAGATAAGTCCATTGTGCAAATTATGTAACTACACACATTTTTTGATGAAAATGGTATTTTGAAACGTAAGGGCTATTTCTCTCAAGAACTATAATTTTTTGAGAAATCAATAATGAGTTTTTGCAACATAAATATTGCTTTTCACATAAGTAGAACGTTCTTTGCTTTCAATAATGGGTAAATATAATATTTACTACTATATATATATTACTATATATATATACTACGATGTCCATTCTTTTTTTTTATTTATTGACATGGACCTTCTTCTTTTCAATCTGTAAGGTTTCTATTAGTTTATTAAATTTTTAATAAATCTGTAAAAGACACATTCTTAGAGCTGTATCTTTACTTACACACACAATATTCCAAAGTGACTAGGAATACCTCAGTTGATTTTGTTGTTTCTTTCTAGAACCCCAACCTTCTTTTTGTGATGTTTTCACCAACACACATACTGTTCCCCACTCCTCTGTATTTAATATTTTTGGAGATGTACTTATGTTGTGGGAAAAATTAAAGTGTGTTTTACTCATCTAACATTGAAAATAGTTTTTCAAGTGATAAACAGGCAAGGAATCCCATAATACAACAACCCGTTGTTTATCAAAGAAATCACTTTCATCGGGCATGTAAAGATAATATACTTTAATTCAAAACAGTACATGGCACGGTTTCTAACTGGATTTTTTCATGCTTTTTATTGTGACTTATACATTTTGAAAGTTTTTTCCTCAATTGGTTAATGGTGTTTTTTCTTTAAGTGAAAACGAACAGATATTTTTATTAGGGACTAATAATTTTTATACAAAGATTAAATGAAAATTCTCAATGTCATTGTTAGTTTTTAAGTTGTTGTTTAGCTCAATATTGTAGAAAATTTGTAGTTTTTGTTAGTCCTGCAGAGTCACAAAGTTATTATTTATGATGTGTGATTTTCACACACTAATTTAATTTTTTTGAAATTCTTATGAAATTCATCAAGATTCAATAGTTGGTTTGGGGATTTTAATTGTATTCAAAGTACAATACGTCATTTGAGATTGATTTGGGCCTCAAAAAAATGTTTCTCTTTGAAAAAATAAAATTGATTGCCAAGGCAATTATCGAATCTGAGATCTTCATTATTAAGTCTTGACTGAAAATTTAAGTCACACTTGGTTAACCCAGAACATTTTATTGGGGAGCCACACTTTTTCTTCATACACTTTTGACAAATTCTCCAAGGTAGCTTTGTGTCTCTGTGCTCCTAATAGAAAAGGCCTAAATCTGTTTTCTGTGTACAACAACCTTATATTTCCCAAATTTCCGTTTGTCAAATGGTGTGAAAGGTTTGACATCCACGATTTTGTGAGATACAATTATGTAAAAAATTCTTGTCCACCTTTGATACAAGATATTTTTGAAAAACGGGACAGTTCTGTTGAGATGATTAGACTTATTGATATTTCTAATATATCAATTTTCAGCAAGCATCAAAGTCAATATGTTAGGACTCTTAACTGATCTAATGAAAACAATAAAATGTGGTGAAAGGGTTATTTGTACAATTTCAGAGTTGGGTACTTTTTGATTGCTTTTTGATACTATATCATGATTTTACCAAGATCTCAGATTCTATGTTAATTTTTTACATTTTTCTGTAGTGCTTATGGTATCAGACAATGGTTTTTAATTCAATAATTTTACATTTAATCTTAAGTGTTCTTCAGCAAATATTTATGTAAAATAGAATGAATAAATGAACATGGACCATGATGAGAAATTTTTATTTTTTTACACCAAAAATTTTATTTATATATGGTACATTGCCCGACCAGTACTGGTCGGGCACTCAAGGAACGTTGGGTCGAACTAAGTATTCCAAAGATGCCTATAAGTGGGGCCATCTATTGGAACTGTATATTAACTGCATTATAAAATATAAATCTTTGAATTTATGATTTTGAATCCAGCTGTGAAAACAGTCGTGGTTCTGAGATTGTTGCGTTGTGACCCTCCCACCTTCCCATTTAAGGAACGTTGATTTATTCGTTCGAACTGAGTATTCCATAGCTGCCTATAAGTGGAGTCATCTGTTGGAACTGTATATTAACTGCATTATAAAATATAAATCTTTGAATTTATGATTTTGATTCCAGCTGTGAAGACAGTCGTGGTTCTGAGATTGTTGCTTTGTGACCCTCCCACCTTCCCATTTAAGGAACGTTGATTTATTCGTTCGAACTGAGTATTCCGTAGCTGGATACATCTGGTAAAGGAGGGAAGTCCTCGTTGATACGGCGCTTCTTCTTCGATGATGAGGAGGAGAAGGAAATAACGCTTTCAGAGTCGCGAGCTGGAATTCCACTTTCAGTAGGGGCATAAGCCCCTACTGGCTGTCAGATTTTGACAACCGGAACCAGAGACTGGCAATGTGCTGCCGTGCAGTTCTGATGTTCCAGGCCAAAACACGAGATAAGCTGGCATATTATGCTAACTATCTCGGTCCTGTCCCTTCCAGCCAGACCGCGAAGCAGTTCCTCCATACTGCTAGTGGACATATTTGATCGGAATTGACACTTATCAGGCGTGAGCACAATGAACAGTAACGGAAAGGATAAATTTAAACGTACTCACCGAAAGTTTGGAGGGCTACGCACTGAACTATAACGAGAGATATACCACTGGTGAATGGCTGATCATCAACCAGAAACACTATGAAATTAACAATTTCTTCGCAGCGAAACTTTAACGTGATGTCACTTTGACAGCTAATGTCACTATATAATGTTTCCACGAA